TTATAAAAGAGCTTACCCCACCTAAACTTCTTGTGAAGTTTGTTTTTATTAAATTAAGATGCCACAAGAGAATCATATGATGATAAATTACTGTTCTGCTATCACGTTATAGGAAATTAGTCTTTTTTTTAGCTAAACCAAAGGGTTAAATGGTGATTTATTGTCATACGAGTGATTTATTGTCATGAGTTTACAAGAAATTTCAACCCAATAGAGAAATAATGCCGTCTTGATTGAGAATATTTGAATGGTAACAATATAAGTAATTACATAGTACTAATACGGAGGATGTATCTATAGCTAACCCAAAAAAAAAAAAAAAATACATGTTTTTGGTGATGTTTTTATTTTCCTTTTATTATTACTAATATATTATTATCTTATTTTCTCGTTGGGTTGACGAGAATGGGGAAGGTCAGGAGACAACTGGCGAGCATCAGGCTGGGCCTGACTATTATTTTCATGTTTGAGTAATATTAAAAAGGCCCCTTTCTAAACCCCCACATGGGCTCATCACAGTGTCCAAGCCAGCCCATGGTTACGTCTGACCGTACGATTAACATCTAACGGTTGACATTGCCTGGACCAGAGGGCCAGCGTTAGGTTTCTATTGTGTCGGTGGGACCCACCATCACAGTGGTCATCGCCGCATGTTGTGGTGCTGTGGAAGCGAGGGGCAGAATAGTAAAAGAATGGTGCGAGTCCATCACAGGGTGGTGAAGTTGTGGTTGCTTTGAATTTTTTTTTTCTGGGGACCATGTTTTCAATTTTTCGTTTGGAGCTTGAAGGCTTGGAGTGAGGTTAGTTAATAGAAGACAACATTCATAATGGTATTATTGTTTCGTGCAGTTCTTTTTAACTTCAATTCTAAAATATCAAATAGAAATTTGCTTGGCCACTCTTTGCAAATAGAAAATTGTTGTTATGTAATTTCAAATTAAACTACAATTAACAAAAGTACAACTAGTTTTGCAAAGACACTAGAGAAAAGAGAAGTATCTCTCCCTTACTCTTATAATCATTTTAACATAATTAGCTATTTGTTAACCCGAAGAGTTTAACTGTTAACCCGTATTTTATCCTCGTGATCATTTTTCCTGTATGAGAATAATGAAGAGTATGACTATCTTATCTATAATTTGCTTTTTTTGTGTGTGTAAAATTATAAAAAGTTAACTCATTGTATTTTTTTTGTATAGATTTTTTGTATCTGACAAGTTAAGGAGGGGCATTTGCTTAACCCTGCATTTAACCTGTTGCCAAACGTCAACTTTTCGTTCCATTTTCTTTCTCATAAAAAAACTGTCTTCTTCACGTGAAACTCATAGAAAGTAATCATAAGTTGTTTGTTTAATTGGATATAAATTATAGTTAAATTACGCTTGTATATGGATAAACTATATTTTATGAATATAGCTCCAACTTATGGTTTTTTTTTTTTGGCTTTGTTTGGTTTTGTTTTTGTTTGCTTTTAGTTTTTCATTTTTTTAAACAAAAACTTCCAAACCAAAGAGTACAAGGGATTCGTATGCTGTGGATTGAGAGTATTGGAAGCAAAAGCAACGGGACTTGAAGCAACAATTGAGTTTGAGAGAGAAAATACATAGATGAGAAGCAAAAGGAACAGAGACTGATAACAACGGATTAAACTAAAGGATTAGCTTATTCAACTTTGTCATTATGTATCAAGGTACATACAAAAGAATTGAATTTTTTTTTAATTATCTATGAATTGGAATGCTTTTTTTTTTTCCGCTGATTGCCTCTCATCTAAGATTAGGTACTGAATCATGAATTGCCTAAATATGAGGAATAAAATGGTGTACAGCTAAGAAGTTCCATGGTAATATGGTATAGTATACAAATGTTGGTGATGAAGAATAATATGCAATATTGACTTACAACACGAGACAGCTAAATACAGTGAAACTGGCTTATTCAATGACATTCCTTCCTCTAATAAGGCTGGGTATAAGTTCGGTTCTTGTAAATTAAACGTTTAAGAAGGAAAAAAAAGATAGAAAATGTTTTATATTTTGAACTTTTTTTTTTGGGTCGTCTAGTCTAGTAATCAACTGCTGGCTTTACTAATAATTATCAGATCTTATTTAGTACAAATTAGAATAATATTGCTGTTGTTCGTACTGTATGTTTCCTATAGTACGTCTCAGATACTCATGTTAAAAAATACATGCGTGGGACAGATCAAGTTCCCGTGTAGAGGTAATACGCAGAGGAATTCCCCCGTAGAGAGGAAATTTAGCCTATATTTCAGAAAACCCCCCTGAATTTTGGATGGTCCTCAGATAGCCCCCAATAACTTTTAAAATATCAGAAAACTCCCCATAAGTATAGTGGTTATTAGAAAACCCCTTTTAGCTTTAAGATTATTATTTTTCCAGAACCACCCTCCCCCACCCAAAAAAAAGGGAAAAACCCACTCGAAGAAAGTGTTAACGACAATTATCATAGGAAAAAAATATCCTTGTATAATTTTATCCACCTATGTGAAAATTACGGTTCGTGATTTTAGAGGGATTCTCTTTACAAAATCTTAAAGTTAATTTGGGTTTGCTAATAGCCCCTAAACTTAAGGGTTTTCTGATATTTTGGAAGTTCTGGAGGGTTATCTGATAATCGTCCAAAATAAAGGAGATTATCAGAAATTTAGCCAAAAACTTTGCCCCTCACAAACTGCATGAGACAGAGTTCCCTACTACATGGTAGAATATGATGGTTACAATGTAAACTTTAGAGAATGATTGATTTAAAAAATAATAATAAAGGATCCGTATGACTAAACTCCAAACGGTAAGATCAGGTTTAGATCGGATCTTGGGACGGCAAACTCTGAGATATGTTTGCACCGCAAGATGCTACCAGTTTTTTCCTCCGCTTCAGCAATCCTTACCTTCCGAATTTAGAATGTTGATCTCATGATCTACTCCAAACTCTACAAAATGTTGTTAGAGAGGGTACAGTCTACTATATAAATCATCATAATAGAGAAATTTTATCTCATTGCTCCTATACTTTCGCTCATATCGGATGGCCTCTTGTTATTTCCACACTGAAAGAGATAATAGTGTGAAATCCATTAATGA